AGGCCGCACCAGAGGCTTCCACGGGACGGCGGGATGGCACCTGCGGTGTCCACTAGGACAGCCCGAGGCCAGCCACTTCAGTGCTTGGTAGGAGAGGTGCATCAGGGCTGGCACCTCCTTGCCTGGCCCGAGCTGCCAGGCATTGGCCGTTTAAAAGGGAGGGGTCCCTCACCACCCCAGCAGCACCTCCTACCTCCCCCCACCTCTGCTTGGGGCTTCCTCTTGAGCCCCACTCTATCCAGGCCAGGGACAAAAGCACCCCGGCTCCTGAGGCCCCACCAGGGTCAGGCTGGGCTCCAACAGTGTAGACCTGTCTCTGCCCCAGTCAGAAGGCAGCGTGGGCTGGGGAGGGGGACTGAAGGACCCTCTTCTCCCTCCTCCTTGGGAACCCAGGAGATAGCCCTGGAGTTCTGAGCTGCTGGCGGGAGCGGCCTGCAGCAGGCATCCCACTCGCTGACCAAGCAGGACTTGCGGATGGCGCTGTGCTGCAAAGGGTGGCGGCCGCCAGCAAGACCACCTGGATGGGAGCCCCATGGCCACCCAGGCTCCGTGTTGCAGGGCACCAACAGCCACCCGAGCCTGGAACAGGACTCCAGCCACTCCCCTCCTCCCTGGACACACTGGGGACCGATGCAGCTTCTGCACACAAGGGCAGAGTGGGAGAGGCAGACCGGGTCACTCCCAGGTGCTGGGACAGCTGGGCAGAGCCACAATGGGGGCTGTCACAGGCCCTGATGAGTGGTCCCAACTTTCCCCAAGTTTGCACAGCCCTAGGGGACAGCCCCACAGAGCTGCACACCTGATTCCCCCTCCTGCAGCGGTGGCAAGCACGGGACAGGGAGCAGAGCTGGGGGGAGCCGGGTGGCCCCTGGAGGGAGTGGGGAAGCCAGAGTGCACGTGGCCAGACTCGTTTTCTCCGGGAAGGGTTATCGTGTAAACGTGTGACGGGTGCGAACACGAGGTGAGCCTACCTCAGACATCTACCAAAAGCAGGATCTGCGCTGAGATCAAACATCTGCCACCATGGTCACTGCCGAGGGCACGAAGACACGGCCAGCTGAGCGCCTCCACCAGAGGACAGGAGAACGGGCCCACGCTGGCACTGGTACTAACCCCACCCCCCACGTGCCCTCTGTCAACTCAGTCTCCCTATCCCCCAACCCCATTTGCCAGGGCACAGGGGCCACCTGCTGTAGCACGTGGACCACCCCAACCCTGATGAAACAGCTGCCCAGGGCCCCGTGCCATGTGTCTCCCCCAGGCGAGGGCATCAGCCATGCCCATCTCGGCCCCCACCGCACAGACCTATGGGTCCAGATATGCCCGAGGAACCCGTGAACTAGGGGAGACAATGGGAACACACCTCTGAGTGGGCCAGGGAGCCCTGTCCCCTGCCCAGCCCCAGGAAGCAACCCTCCAAGGTCCACTGCCTTGACTGGGGCAGTTCCCCTGCCCTGGGCGCAGAGGAAACCTGGCACTGTGCCAGACCCTCGAGGGGAAGGAGAGGAGACACAGGAGGCAAGAGAGGACCAGGGAGGACAGGAAGGAGGAGAGGGGGACACTGCTCGGGCCACGGCACTGTCTGCACTCCCTGCTGTCCACACCCAGGCCTGGGCTCTCTGCGTGGCATCAGCCTCCTACTCTTGGGGTCCTGGCCTCCGACACACCCCTGCATCAGGCGGGGCCAGAGGCAGATGTGTCATGACCTCCAGCTAGGGATGCAGCACCCACATGCGCATGTGTGTATACATGCACACCTGTGGGTGTGCCACACTCCCTGGAAGACCTTGCTGTCAGGCTGAGGGGCACAGCGTTGGCATGGGCATTTCCAGTGGGTAAGAAGTGTGCCCTATCGTACCTTGCGGGGTGGCAGGTAGACCCTCTGGGCTAGAAGAAAGCGGCCCTGCCTGCTGCAGAGGTGGCGGCTTGGGCTCAGACCATCTGCACAGCACCCGTCCCCCGCAGGACCCTCTTGGAGCATCGCTCCCAACAGCAACAAGTTGGAAACTACCTAAATGTCCTTCGATGGGAAACTCGATAGATCGGAGGTGGCGGCTCCACGTGATGGAGGGGCAGCAGGAGGCAGAGGTAGAAACAGACAGAGGGGCTGCTGGGGACCAAAAGGCAACCAACTTTCTCTGTGACACTTCGATTCATTTCCAAAACAAGAGGCCGACTTCACAGGACAAGCTGTGCATGGTCCTTAATGAGAGTGGGGGTGGGTGCTGTTTCAAAGACCCCTGAACGTCAGCCAGGCTAACCTCTCACTTGACATGTGGGGAAACAGAGGCCAGAAAGCAGAAGGGACTCATCGCAGGAGACACCTGAGAACATTCTGGTGTCTACCAGTTGAAAGACAGCATCTTCCCAGCTCCTGGTCAGGCTGGGCAAGGGGCAGCAGGCTGCTGGCCCCCTGAGTAAAAGTAAGTGTGTTCCCCAGACCAGGCCAGGCCCCAGTGCACCAAGAGAGACCCCCAGGGAGCCAGCACACAAGGGGCAGCTCTGTGTTTGGGGACAGGCCCCTCCGTCCTGCTCACCCCACAGTCTCCCTCCCACAGCATACCCAGTGATGCTGGCGACGTCACTGCCAATAACCTAGATTTTAACCAAGAAATCACACACCCCCTTTCTCTGCCCCACTTAAGGGCTTGCTGGAGAGAAAAACCACGACAAGGAAACCCAGACTGTGGCATCCTGAGCCAAACTACATAGCAGGCCGGCTAGAGACAGGGCCAGCCCCATGTCCCCTCTGTCACCCAGCTTTCCCCCACATGGCCCACTGCTGACAGCCCCGAAAAGCGTGGCAGGGACAGGTGGGTCAGGTGGGTACTCTTCTGTGTCACCCAAGGCATGGTAGAGCCCCTGCAGGAACACAGCCTTGGGTGGGGTTTCTGCCCCTTGTCTCTGAATACAGGGGTGGGGGGAGCTGTCCAGAAGGCCTGCCATGCGGCTCAGGGCAGCTTGGCTCCTGACCCCCACCTGGCAACATGCCCGGTGCTCTGCAAAGACTTCTCATGGCCCCCATCCCATTGGCTCCTTGGAAAATCTGTCAAAGTAGGTGGGCTGTCCCTGCCCAGGTGAGACAAGGGCTTCAGCTGACCCAACACCAAGGGCCAGGTGCACATGGTGAGCCACCCGAATGCACCCTGCTCCCAGCAATGCTGCCCTATTCACGCTGTCCCAACATACCACAGCCCAAGGTCACACTGGATCAGGGCAGGGCTTTGCAGGGAGGACCCTGCAGAGCCATTTGGAGACTGGGGTCCATTCCTGGCGTTGTGGTGCACCCCTTGCCCCTGGCACTGACCCTGCCGTAACCTGTCCAGGGAGCCCCATCTGGCCACTACCCTGGAGTAGAGTCCTCAGGGGTAATTGGGGTTAACCAGCCTGCCACCAAGTCTGCCCTGGGACTGCAGCCCAGTGACAGAGCCCCTGCCTGAAGCCTTGTGGTCCCTGGGTTGGAGAGTCTTGGGAGCCTTCCCCAGCTGCCGCTGGCTCTCCCCTGCCTCCCCTGGCAGCTGTCAGCAGGGGCAGAGCAAACTGCACACAGGGCAGATTCCCCGGAGGCCGCAGCCCATGCTGGGTGCATGAGCAGTTACGCCCTGCACGTCCTCGGTGTTGAGCCGGAGCCCCATGCCCTCTGGGCTCTGGAAGTGCCAGTTCAGTGGCTAGCATGTTGCTTGGGATCAGGGAACCTCAAGCCCTACCCACTCCCACTAGAAGAAAACAAAAGCCGTGAAGCCCGGATCTAGGTGGTCTGTGAGCTAGCATTCCCTAGAATTCACACAAATACGACACCCATTTAAATAAAGTCGTGAGTTCTGAGAAAAAACTATGGAGCCCAGAACACCTGGTGGAAGGGCAGTCATTCCTCCTGCAGGCTCTGGGAGGGAGCCAGGGTGGCCAAAGCTCAGGCAGAGACTCTGCATCCGCTCTGCAGCCACAGCTGCTCCAGAGGAATCCAGCTGTCCCAAGGGCACCAGCTGGCGGGGGCTGCTGGCTCCCTCTGCGACCCCCATCACTGATGGACCAGCCCTATGTGGGGGAGGCAGCGTCCCATCAGTGAGAAAGGACACGTAGCGGGTGGGGGAGGAAAGAGCCCCACACTGCCCCCAGGGTGGCCGCCCACTGCCAGCCCCGTGTCCAGGTCCACCCTCCGCACACAGGCCACACGTGCAAATCAGTGCAGGCGGCCAGCCCAGGAACACTGCTGGACTGGAGAGACACTCGGTCCTGGGCAGTCATTGCAGGACCCTCCGCCCAGTAAATCCTCAACAGTCACAGGGACTATAACCCAGTCTATGATGCTGGCATCTCAAATTAGGGCATCTTGGGCATCCAGGCTGCAAAAGGGGGCCAGCCTGCCTAAAAAAAAAAAAAGAAAAGAAGACCTGGGGGGCACTCATTCAGCTCAGCAGGCACTTTGGGTCCTGAGTGGTGGCAGGCAGGGAGATGGGACAGGCACAGCAGGTCTCACCCACGCGAGTGGGAGAAAAAGCAAAACCTTGCAGGGTGAGGAGAAGGCTGAGGTTAAAGGGGATGAGGCAGGGACCCCCAGGTGCCAGGCACTTCACAGACAGAGAAACTGAGGCCCTGAGTAGGCAGTGACCAGCCTGTGAGCCCTCGGGCATGTCCCTGGGCCACTGAGGCCCATGGTTTCTTCATCCACCCATGGAAGACGGGCCTTTCTGCATGCCAGGCACTTCACAGACAGAGAAACTGAGGCCCTGAGTAGGCAGTGACCAGCCTGTGAGCTCTCGGGCATGTCCCTGGGCCACTGAGGCCCATGGTTTCTTCATCCACCCATGGAAGACGGGCCTTTCTGCGCACGACGCTGCAGTGGCTGGCGACAACTCCCGTGGTCTCTCATCCAGGACTGGTGCCGCCTCCTCCACGCTGGGTATGGCCTCACCCTGCGCCCCCCCATCCTCCCGAGCCATCCCAGCCCCCTGGCATGCCACCTTCCCAGCCAGGCGCATGTGCCCCGCCCTGGGTGTTACCTGCGTAGCCACCGGAGGCCTTGATGTACATCTGGCCGTACTGCTCCTCCACCATGGTGTCGTACGCCTCATCATCTTCCTCATCCTCCTCATTGTGGTACGAGGTGGGGCTGTCGGTGGTGGGCAGGCTGCTGGCCCCCGGACTGGTCCGCTCCCCCTGGGGGTAGGGCACCTGCTGGATGCTGGGGAGGAGGGTGGCCAGGCTGGGCACCCCGTAGTAGGAGACTCGGGGTAGCTTGAGAGGAGCCACGCCAGCTGCCACGGTGGCACCAGCCGTCGCTGCCACACCGTCCCGGGGCCCCGTCTCCAGCGGGCGCTTGGGGGCCAGGCCTGGGCCGGTGGCTGGCGGCAACTCCATGGCTTCGTGCTTCACACGGGTCAGCAGTGGGATGGGCACGGACGGAGACACGACGTAGGCGGGGGCAGCGGTGGCAGCCGGCTGCAGCTGGTTGCAGGGGCTCTGGGGCTCGGAGCTGGCGTCCTCGATCATGGCGGTCTGCGAGTCGCAGTGGGGCGAGCTCACCTTGAACATGAGGTCGGTGCCGCGTTCCACAATGTGCTGGATCTGCAGGAAGCCGGCCGTGTACATGACCACGAGCTGCTCGCTGGCTGCCATGGTCAGCTTGCCCGTGTAGCAGAAGGACAGGATCTGCTGGAAGCAGGCAGGCGGCACCGTGCCCGGCAGCTCGAAGGCGCTCTTGCTGTTGCCGCTGAACAGGTCGCGGAAGTAGAGGCTGCTGGCGGCCAGCACGGCACGGTGGGCCTTGAAGGCCTGGCCCTTGACCACGATGGACACATCGCAGTAGAGGCCCAGCAGCCGCTGCTCGTTGAGGCAGCCGAGCACGGTGTTCCCGAAGTTGGGGATCTCGATGTGCAGCATCTGAGACATGGCGGGCGGGCGGGCGTGGGTGGGCCTCAGACTCTCAGCGCGGTGCTGCCGGAGCGGGGCACATCTGTGGGGGGTAGGGGGGACATCATGGTCAGCTCCCTGGCTGGACAAGTCTATCTCCACGCCCCTCTCCCTGCAAGCGCTGAGAAAGACCGTGCACCCACCACCCTGTGCACACCCTTCCCCCTCTAGCTGGAGAAACCCACAGAGAAGGGACCCCGCAGTCTCACAGGGGGACCCTGGCTGAGGGAAGAGACAGCACTCAGGGCGCTGCTGCAGTTGACAGAAGCCCAGAGCCGAGTCTCCACTGGGGGGGGCTCCTACCCACCCCTGAACTTTGACACCCCAATTTGGCAGAAGACAAGGGACAGAGGCCACAACCCGCGGTGGGACAGAATGGGACAGGACGGGATGGGGGCGAGTCCACCGCGGCCGGGGGCGTCTGGCTGTCCCCTGCAGCTGCTCTGCTCAGGGAAAAGTTCGCAGCCCGCAAAGGAGCCCCGCGCTGCTCTCCCTTCCCCGGGGAGGGCCCGAACCCAGAGGGGGTCTGTCGGAGGTGCCCAGTTCCCAGTTTCTCCTCTCTGCCCTCAGAGCCGCCTCGCTGAGAGAAGCTGCCCCCACCCCCACCACAGGCAGCCGGGGAAGGGGCCGGGGGCGCCGGGAAAGTGAGCAGAAGCTGCAGAACTCAGCGACGCTCCCGCTCCGCGGCTGCCCGGCAGAGACGTACCCGGGCTGGGGGTCTGCTCACCCGCCTGCTGCGTCCTCCCGGCTGGGACCCTAACCCACATCCAGAGGCGGGAGCGGGGAGCCTGGTGCAGCCCCACTGGTGGCCGGGCTGCCGCACGGGCCAATCCCACTGCTGGCTCGGTCCCAGCCCAGGTGACTAAAGGGGTCTCGGGCGGCCGGGCGACGGGGAGGGCTGGGGAGTCGGGCCGGCCGCTGTTTATCTGGTGCGACTCTGCAAAGGGGGGCGGGCCCGGCCGGGCAGGCGCTGGCCCAACTCCGCAGGGCCGCACAAAGGGCCGCTGTGTCCCGCGGGAGGAAAGTGCGGGCGGCCGCAGAGGCGCCGGGCAGCCGGGAGGAGGGTGGAGCCGCCCGCGCCAGGAGTTGGGCAGGTGGGCGCCGCGCCGGGGAGGCCCGCAGTGCCCCCGCTGCGGAGAAGTTGCCGCCCGGCCGCAGCACCAGCCAGCAGGGCAGACCTACCTTTGGCCGCTGCGACCGGCGGCCCGACACTGCCCGCTCAGCCTGGCAGGGCAGGCTCCCCGCACGCCAGCCCGCCTGCCCGCCCGCCCGCCGCCGCCAGCTGCTCCGGGAATGCAGCAAACGGAGCGGGAGCCCTGGGG